ATACCAAGGCTGGTAACAAAAACACAATAACGCCTGGTGATTTCATTTCTGCCAATAATATGAATTTCAGTGGAACATTCAGCGGAGTATTGGCCTTCAAACAACAGGTGTGACTGCACCCAAGAGTGTGACAAGAGTGTGACAAGAGTGGAGACTGAGAGGAGAACAAGAACACTCCTTAGACCTTGGTGTCCACATACACAGTATCTCTATCTCACACACGCCTACACACACAAACACAATGCGCGACCAATGCTCAGGTCCTGTTAAGTCGTCTAATTAGATCAAGTGCTGCACCCCTGTGGCAAACTCAGCTCTGACACTGCGGCTCCCGTCCTCCAGTGAGCTTCTGCCCCCCCGGGGTGCCTCAAGGAGACCAACACATCGCCTCACCAGCAGATCACAGTCTGTGACATACACTAGGAACACCTTCTCTGACTGGAGACACAGCAAAAAATAAAAAGAAATGTTGACGGGGAAAACTAAGTAGTAAATTCTCCAAGTGCGCTTGAGCTGATTGTTGTGGACAAGACCATTCTAAAAGTAAACATACACACTGATGTATTCTATCAATAGGATCTGTCATAATGTGTAAACATCTGCTCTGAAGCCCAGATGGCTGCTCTGTGCTGCCCTTTTCCCACAGTTACTACAAAAGGCTTTATTTATGTGTGCACATCCATCTGCTTAGTGTTTGTAGGATAAAAGGATCTACAGTATGCCCTCATGGATGTAAATGTGTACGTGGTATTGTTAGGTTAATGTGAATTATAAACAACCACATGACTGTGATAGAGTCTGTAGGCGCTGTTGCCAAGGACGTTTTCTACGGCAGATAAAATCCACAAAGGGCTCCTCATCGAAGCCCTGTCCATCTGGAAGCTGATGTGTTTTATATGCATGGGATCCCATCTATCAGAGACACTTACAGAGCATGAAAACATCACAGGGGTTGCGGATAAGGTAAGAATAGATTTCTCTATCTATTGATCCTAGTTGCCAGCATTTGCTCTTACATAGTCACTCACTCCAGAGTCACAAAAATAAAATGAAGCTTTGAGGTTAAACTTGTACTGCTGCTGTGATCATTGCAAGCCGCTCGGGAAAACAGGGTAATAATTCCTTGATATGTAGAGGACGGAGCAACCGAGACTCATAAACACAGCAAAATAGATGGTTGGTAAAAAGCAATGAGTGAGCAAGTGCCCAGCCCAGAGAGACTGGATTCGAAAACAGTGAATCTATCAACACCTCCATCCCATAACACAATAACCAGAGGAAATGTGCATGTATTTGTAAGGATAAATGGCAATGAAAACAATCTAACTGTTTATGCACTCCCACAAAAGGTTTTCATGGGGCAGGTTGGCCCTCAGGCTCCGTTAGATGTTGGTTCTCTTTCTTTCTTTTTTTCTTGCAACAAATGCAAAAATTCTTATTTGGCAACAAGTTATAGATCATATTAAGCAGCATGAAAAGCAGTTGGAGTGGGCAGGTGTGGTCATGAGAAACAGGCCTGCTTAAACACTAACTGTGCTTATAACTAAAGTAGAGAGGATCTATTCAGCTTTCTGAATGCTTGTTCAAAGGTGCAAACCAACTACTTCATATTTCATAGTGTTATCTGTAATTAATTAGTTATGCAACATGATCATGTCATGAGTCTCATCTGCACTGTGATTACCACTGGAAATGGGTGTTTCCCACAGCATGTGAACACAGCATAATTGTTAGTTCTCAAAACAATAATAATGCAGTTGGGAACTGGGAGTTTTAGTTATGTATCAAAGGCAGGCGATAATTCTCAGCAGGCAGAGAACTAAAGCCAGGGCAGTTTAAAAGATACTCTAGCAGCTTGCTCTCAGACAACGAGAACATTCAGCCCGACTCTGAGATTTAAGAAAAAAGGAAGGGATTGCAAAGTTTAGAAGTTAAGGAAGAGCAGCAAGGAACCACCAGGGCAGTACTTTATAGATCTGTTCAGCTAGAAAGGGAGACGTCTCCAGTTATCTACGGATCACAGGACTGAGGTGTTTTTAGGGGACTTTAGAAGTGCATGGGGTCAATGTGCCTTAACCAGTCCAGTAAGCCAGAGACAAATTCCCCCTCTAAGCTGCAGCAAGGTGCTGAAGAGACATTCATTATAATGGTTCACTGACACATAAGCCTCTGCTGATAAAGACCACGTAACTGTAGATTTGTGGAGTTCATGCGTATAGTCATTTCAGGGAGTGTGGACTTGGGAGTGACATCAGTGACAACATTTTGTTATGCAATCCTCAAAATATACTCCAATTTGTGGTTTGGCCGACAGCAGTACAAATTATGATTTGAAGGTATATGCGTTTGTTGTACTTTCAACACATTATTTCAAATTGTACCAAGGAAGCATAAAAGCCATGACAGACAAATAGATGTAAGATGTAGCTGCTTATACAATATGCAGTAATATCGCTTGGGAAGCAAAAAGCACGGCCTATTTTAAGACACAGGATCAAGTGTTTTAAATTTAAAATAAACCTTTTTTCTGATTCTTTACTTCCCAATTACATATTCCAGGGACAAAGAACTATCTCACTGCTGATGGGTAGAAAAGATTCTGCTTTCATAATCTCTTATTTTAATCTCCTTGAGAGCATGAACATGAATCTTTAAATAAATTTACTGTAAAACATGAAATTCAGACAGCTGGAGATACAAGGTTTTCACATGATAGCAGCAGTTTGATATTATGGAGTTTATTATGTGGACTGGAATGTAGATCGGGTTCAGTAATTGCAGCCTATTGCACTTACACTCTGGATAAGAGCATCAGCTAAATACATAATTTCTAACTGTCTCTTAGCAAACTAAATATCACAGCCAAACTCATTTTCAGCCATGTTAACTTCCTCAGGAAATCTTATCTGAGAGAGATATTTTTGTCTGTGGAGGAGGCCTCCGGGCTACATAGCCTCATTATTTAGTTTGGCTTCCTGACTACATTTCCCCTCTTATCCTCAACAGCACTATGCTGGATCTTGGCCTCGGACAGGAGCATAAAAACATCCGCCTATTTAAACAAACTGTTAACACATAGATGGGCTATCTCACTGGGACAGACTAGGAGTCTGTGGGCTCAGCAGTGTGCTTGAAGCCGGGGATATTGGCAGTCATCTATCTGCATAAACAAACAGAAAACCACTTTCTGTAGTCATGAAGGAAAACAAGAATAGGATGGCAGGGTAAACCCACCTGAAGGCAGGATACCCGCAATTTGTTTATGAAACACTTTCGGTGGCACCAGGGCTCATCGGTGTATACAAGTCACATCTGTTACCCTTCAATAATAATAATGCTGTTTGACCGATTCCTTACAATTCTGCCCCCATGATACTGCTCTAACTTGTCTGTTTCAATGTTTTGCTTCAACGGGCGAATTGCACAGAACACTGAGATTCCTAAACAAATACAAAACTCCTAAAGTACACTACTAATGCATTCTCACTCCCAACTCGTCAAATATTACTGACAGTGGCCGTCAGCTTAGAAATATTATGCTGTATGTCCCCCTCTTACATCATTTTAGGACGTGTAGGGCTCTGCGGTCAATTTAGCAAGAATAAATATGCATTACATTTGACCAGATTTTTTAAATGAATGGTTAACATTGTGAAATGTAGCAGTTTTGTTAAGGCACAAAAACTACTTGGTTAGGGTTAGGAAATGATTGTAAGTTAAGTTACGAACCTGACATAATATAAGTACATGAATAAAATACCTAATAAAATACTTAAAATGAAAATTTACTTTGGTTTCACAGCAGTATCCTGGGATGAAATCCTGAATTAGTTTGAGCCATCCATCCACCAAATATGCAGACATTCTTGATTTTTCAACTATGTCACCTGAGTTTGATGGCGGCTGTGTCCAGAAATGATGCTAGAGGGGTGCCTACAGTGTCATATTTTGAAGTGGACGGCCCCACAAGCTGCAGTATTTGACAACTTGGGAGTAAAACCGGGTTGCCAATACAATCTATGCACCAGCCAATCTGTCAAAGGCTACTGTCATCTGTCTTCACCTCTTTATCAGCTGCTCTTTTGTACTGCAGTGTCACTGCTGTGCCAATAGTTTTGCTGAATTGTCAGAATTGTTAAAAAAAATTTACAGGGTACTATCACCACCAAGCAAATACATTTGCAAATAGAATAATATTACTCACTGAGAATATAAAAAATAATAAAAACAATAAAACAAATATAATGTTAAACATCACTACTAATGCAGAAGCCAAACTGCAAAATACCAACTGAATTACAGTAAGCTGAAATCATCACTTTAGACAGAGAGAGGAAGTTAGTCCCGACTAGCCACAATGTGAGAAGCATCATTACTGACTACAAAAGCCCTGCTGTGAAAAGCTCAAACACCTGGACTTCCCTAAAGGACAACGGGAGCAATGTCAGAAGCTTCTATTTCAAAAACCATTAAAAATCACATAAATGTTAAACAATATAATTACATACACAATTTATAACATGACCGGGGCAAGATTCAAATATAGACAGCTCTGAATGACTACCACTCCTCACGGCAGCCTTTAGGAGATGCTGCTCACAAAAGAAGTGAGTATTTGACAAAAATGACTTTATGCAGTGCTGAACAGTGAGCTGTTGATGGTGCACAGATAGGGGGACTAAAGTGGTGACAACCTCAGCACTGTGATCCCTGCTGACACAAGAATAAGTTAAGTCACATCTGACATGGGCTCTGTTCAGCTTTTTCTGCCCCATAGTGAATGTGGACCAGCTGTCAGATGGATAGAAAGTATATATTTGAAGAAAAGCCTATCCTGCCTCTTAGTTTAAATACAGTTGTGGAAATAATAGCGCTGACCAATCACAAAAGTGGAATCAGATGCTGCCTAAGCAGCTGATCGGCCAGCACAGCAGACCTCTCTTTCATTTGTCAATTTCTGACAATAAATTTAAAAATAAAAAAGCTTTGGAGGCACTAACCATTTTGTTCTTCTTGGAGTACGTCTTCTTCAGCAGCCTCTCGTTCATCCTCTCCTGCTCCCGCTGGGCGTGATGAAGGAAGCCGTTCTCCAGGGGATCCACCACTGGCTGGACATTCTCCTCTTCCTCCTCCACCTCCTCGTCTTCCTTCTTCTGCCGCTTCACCTCCTTTTTCTCCTTCCACCGCTCCTTCTTCTCCTGCGTCTTCACAACTCCGGTCTTCTTCTGCAGGGAGAAGACGAAAGCACATTAGAAATCTAGACACTATGAAATGAGAATGTGTGTGTGAGTGGAAGATAATATATATGGGTCGATGGGTGCATAAATAATCACTTCTTGTTATTAAAAGTCAATGATGACAGAATCAAGGCAGTGTCAGGGGATGTCATACAACCTGTTACACCACAGGAATAATGCAGTGACACAGACACTACTCAACGTCACACTGACAAGGGAGATTTACTGCCTTGAGTGTCTCAAGGATTTCCTTAAACACCCTTGAAACAATTGTACACCAGGTGATGACAAGTCTATAAAAAAGCGCTTCAAAGTTGCCTTCAAACAAGAACAAAGCAGACAGGTATGTAGATGGATAGATAGAGTGGTGGTAGATGAATGTGTAAAAGAATGGAGGGAGGGTGCGCCACAGCTGGCAAACAGTCAAGCGTGCAGCCCCTTTCACTGCTGGCTTACACAAAGCAAGCAAACACTCGAGCAGAGAGCGGCGACACTCACTCTCTCTCTCTCTCTCTAAAATCATCTTTAATCCTGTCAACAGCAGAACAATGCCTTACTGGAGCCCATAATCACTTTATGGCTCAGATATAATGAGCTTATGATATGAAGTGCTGCTTTAACACACACTGGAGAAAATACAGTTGCTCTACACTTAAACTATGACCAAGCAATTTCTCCCTTTAACTAATTATTCCTTTCATGCTTCGGTTACGGCCTGCATGGAATTGGTGTTTGTTTATTTGAGTTCAAACACAATTTGTTACTGCCTAGGATCTTACTTAGTGTGTTTTCTTTGCTCCCTCCCCCTGCTTACCTCCTGACCAGTATTTCACAGACAAAAATGGCATCAGGCTACTTATACCACTGACTGCTGTTTGCTTCATTTCAGCTGCTGTAATGCACTGAGCTGATGTTCAGTTCTGGCATGTCTAGCCTGTGTAGTGCACAAAAAACAAACTAGCATTTAATGGATTCAAGTACCAAGAGCGCATGTTTGCATACTCTAGTGCCCATAATTCCTGGAGCTGACACACCCTGTGGCCTTGTGCAGTGTTCATGTCAGATTGGAGTTAATAGATTCTGACTTGTAACTGCAGTTCAAGTCCCAGTTGTAATAATGAGCCAGTAACTTGGTACTAAATAATACGAAAGTGCCCGAAAAAGCAAACCAACACTGATGCCTAACGTCAGCCAAAGTGTGTTTTAATGTAATTCAACACTAATGGATGGCTGAATGAGAGGCACATTCTAAAGCACTTTCTCTGTTAAGGTAGAAACACGCAATATAAATGCAGTTTATTTATCGTTATGTAGTGTTATTCTCGAAATCTGCCACTAGTCATTCAGTGTTCAAGTTATGCTCCTTATAAGTAGCCACTGATAAGGGGTTTTGTTGGCAAACATTTAGTCAGCTATAGAGTTTTACGGCCACCACACGTGATCAACAGCAAAATTAATCAAGACACAATCTAGCTAGCCACTGTGCTCAAGCACCACCAACGACACGACACGCACAATCTGTTTGTTGGAATTCCCAGTACACCACTACACAACTTGGCATGCCACAAGCTTGGCAGTAAATTCTAGCATGGCAGAATGTCAGTCAGACTGACTCTCTTTATGACTTTTCATATACTGATAATTGATAACATTTGTTATTATTATTCTCTTTCTACTTTGTAAGTGTTTACAATACGACTGGCAGCCACAGTCTAATTGTCCGAGTTGTCGGCTAATGTGAAAGCTCAAAAGTTGCAAACATGGGAATCTTTCCCAATGCTACCTTCCATTCATCTTCCCTTCTCTTATATGAGATGAGCACAGCATTAAAAAGTCACAGAGTTGAGGTCAAATTTCAGTTCAGGACATTCCTAACATGATATGGTGAAGAGGCACAGAAATTGACGCACACGCAGATCTGCCAGCCTGTGGAAATCACTGCTGCCAGCCAGCCAGCCAGCCAGCTTGTGTGTCCAGTGATTGAATTCCATCCTTCCTTCTGGGCCTCTGCTGCCTCATACTTCAGATCTCATCAGGCCCGATCGGGGCTGGTGACTTGCTGCTACTTGGTAAAGCCTGTCGGTAGAGATCACCGTGCGTCTGAATGGCACAGGACGACACACCGCTGCTCGAAGCTGCGTGGAGTTCAAGGCCGAGGACTGCTAGTTCACGTTTCAACATCTGTTCACAGCCAGCAGCACCGGGCCCGACTGCAGTCAGCTCAGTGCTCCATATGAATAATCAAATTATTGGCTCCAAGGGTGGGAGGTTAGCAGATGGTAGCGCATTAGCCCCATAACTGCTAATGAATGACACCTTCCATGACAAAAGGCGTTCATGAGTCAGGGACTGTAAAAAAAACTGGCCATGGAAAGGAAGAAGCTTTCCATTATAAAAAGTCCAGGAAAAATTCAACTAAAATCTAATTGGAGAGGGCAAAGATCCTGAAAACACCCACACAAACACATTCATTATGATGTTCTAGTCCAGGAGTCTTGCATAAATTATTTTGTGCTACACTGAACATGTTTGTAGCTGAATTGTTTCTTTTTTTTGTTTTGTTTTTTTTAACTTGCTGGTAGAATTCCCAACCGGAGAAGCTGTTTGGAAACACATGCAGTGTTTCTAGAGTTTTTTTCTCTCTCTAGTTTATAGGAAAAAATACCTTAACACTTTTTAAGACTGCGGAAAGACAGATTTCCTCTTTCATTGTGAAAGGAAAAACAGCTTCTTCCATGCTGTGCAGTACACTTAACACAGTAGACCCAATCAGAATATATTGATCTACTGTATATAACTGGCCTCGTTTCAAACCACAGGAGAAAAGTGACTGAAACATGCAGGCCTCTTAAACTCATGCAGTGCCTTAAATAACAGTATTTCAGACCCTTTATGGCCATTGTACGAAGCTGGAACAGTGATTGTTACACTATGGGCAATTGTCAATTCAGCCGTCCACTCCTAGTCGAGAGAAACAATTAGACAAACTTACTCTGGAAATTTTGTAACTGGGGGACAAAAGGTTGCTAAGGTAACCCAACTCACAGGCCGACACCGCTTTGACAGAAGGATTTAATATCATCCCACTGACACCACACATCAGCTCAAAGCAGCTCTTCTCACCTCACAAGGCAACGCATTAATTTCTCATGAGGGACCAGACGGTATTAGCAGGCCACTTGTCATGCAATTCATTACCTGGAGAGGCATCTTTAAAGAGCTGTTACGAGGACAAAGCAGCTACAGTCTGACAACAAAGGATGCTGAGAAACGATACCAGGGGTTTTCCTCAGTTTATGTCGAGCTGAAGCTGCAGTCCATCTGTCAATGTCCATCAATAAACAGTAAGACAGGGAGGTGGATTGCAATCTGAAATTTCCCATCTCCGTAGTTATTAATAGAAATACGCCTTTGTGAACAAACCGGCTGTGAGTGGTGGGATCAATTAAGCATCAACTTGCAGAAATGTGTTTTATTAGCATTCTAGAGGATGTCTGTATGTTCATCATCTGCTTCAATCAGTCAGGGTAGAAAACCCAGTCATACATGAGGACTACACTGTTATTTGGCAGTTTGACACATTCACCATTAGTTGTTTTTAATATCTGAAAAGATGATTGGCATCATTGTTTGGAAGACAGTGTGTAAGTTAAGGCCTTTGAATACAGCAAAGATTGGCATTATCTAAAGTAAAGATAACTGTAGTCATGTAGTGACTGTAGTCATCCAAAATAGGAATTTTATTTTTCTTGCATGGTCTAAATATAATAAAAACGATTTATCTGCCACTGACATACATTTATTGCTTATGACAAGTCCGTGGACAACATTTACTTTAACCTTTCAACCAAATGCATGCTTAGACTGCTATATATCTTTTTTCAGCCACTAATGCTCAGTTTTGTTTTTGTCCCTTTAGTCAGTATATTTCTAATTATAACCTGGATATTAGCAACTGAAGCGAAGATCATGATATGCAGACAAGACAAATCTATCCACCTGTTGGGTCAGAGTAAACTGTGGTGCCAAACCTCTAACCACAAACTAGGGGAAGTCACCATTAAACTGTTGTAGTCCTTCACCCTTTAAATCAATGGCATGCACAGACTCTTAAAGGGTCAGAGGGAAAAATTCTCTTAAAGGACACTGTTGTACTGGCTTAAATCATGTGTTGCTTGTTAAATCCCCCCACTCATATCTTTGTCACTTCCTTTCCTTGTGCAATGTGTGTCTAATGATGCATAAATGTGGTTAAAAACATACTTCTGAAAGGGCATCTCTGGGTCATCCCAGTATCTCAGTTGGCCAAGTGCAACACTCAGTCAAGTCAAGTACAACAAGTTAAAATCCATCAGTAGTGTAACTTTTCATTCATGTCACCACTCTCCCTATAATCCTCCTCATCTCCCCATACCCCCAAAATTTAAACTGTCTAATGAAGCATGTTAGTTGTGTCATAAATGTGGCCCGGGTGGTAAATGTATACAATTCAGCTGTTCAGAGCCGAAATTTGTGACTTATGTACAGTGGCAGGTTGTGGTGGAGCCTCCAGGGGGAGAACGGGGTGCAGCTGCCGCTCTAGTATTATCAATTTTATATCAACATATTTTTGAGACTTCAAAGCAAACTCCTTAAATAACTGAGTGTTCCCGGTACTCAACATCCGTCCCTGTGTGTCACTCACTACTCTCTCAAGCTCCATTCAATGTCAGCATGAAGTTCCATTCCATCTACAGTATTATTCTGTTTGAATGCTTTGACATAGGTTACCATATGCGATGGTCTTTGTTAAACACCTTTTATTCCACTCTCACCTTATTTTAGAACAATCTGAAAAAAACAAAAACAAGATGAGAAGCCACCCCTACAGCACATATCTCTTTGCTATCATTCTGTGACCCCATACTTAAATCTCAAGACAAAAGATTGACATGTACAGTTCATACCAGCTTAAGGGACAACATGCAATTAAAAAAACTAAGGTTACT